CTCAATTGTCCTCGTCCATCTATATAGTGCATTATGTAAGAATGCAAAAAAAAAAAAAATTCTTGTACTTTTTATGGATGCACTTATCTCCTTCAAGCGTGGGGTTGGTCTAGGATTCCAACACTTTCTCCAGTCAACCGCAATCCATTCACATTTCCATACGCTAACAAGTAAGTTTATTTTCAAGACGAGTTTACAACCGAAGTTTCTTTGTAACTTAATTATTTGTACAATGTTTCTTAGTATCTAATTTATTTGTGTTTCTTTTTTTTAGGTGGTCTGTTCTGGGAATGAATTACCAAAGATGTTCCAAGAACTCCATAATCATGTACCGCAACCTTATTGAACACATTGGGCCAGATGGTGTAATTTATCTACCATTACTTTGTCTAATTGATAAACACATACTTGCATTTCTCATTGCATATATTGTTAATGTAGTTTGTCTGGATTTCGCACGAGGGTCTCGACCACCAGCCCAACGCCAATGATGCTTCCGTGTGGACATCTAAAACACATATCATTCGGTTCACTACAGTGGAGATGCACCAAAGTAATCGGGTGAAACTATAGTTTGGGATACATCAGGATATTCCAGATGCTTCGACGTCATTGGGACACTGGCATCAACAGAATATAAAGTATGGAGAAGATAAAAGCGACAAAAATGTTCGCACAAAGGTTACATCCCATGAACAGTTACAATAATAATCGAATATTTAAACTGAAAATAACTTCATTCGACATAATTAGCTGCAAAACCAAAACAAACAGAGACGGTTAGTATAGGGGTTAAATGGAAACAACATAGATAGCGAGATGAAAAAGGATGTTATTTTGGAATTTCTTCCGTTACTTTTATTAATTAAATTTTTTTTTTAAAAAAAGAAAACTAATCTTAAATCTTTAAAAAATATTTTGAGTTGTAATTTTGAAGAAAGACAAAAAAGGTTTTAATTTAATTTTGAAAAAAGGGTTTTATTATTTTATTATTTTTACTGTAACCAGCATGTTCTAATGAAAAGCATTAACCAAGGTCTTACTTCCAATTACCAAATGCTTCGGACTTGAATTAAGAAAGAACAAAACCTGCATTTTACTTATGAAGGCCGTTTTAGATTTTAACTACGAAGAAAACGAACAGTTTCACGTTTTGTTTTTTTTATTATTTATTAGAAAGAAGTTAATTAATTAAACAAGTTAATCACAGCAATTGGTACAAACAAAATAAAATGTATCAGCACTAAACGACCATTAAAAATAAAAAAGGGAGTTGTGCAGTTCATTCGCCTCTTATAGGGTTTTTCTGATTTTCAGTCTTCTTCTCCCTAGAGCGCCGTCGGCCCCTCCATTAACACCCCTGAAGCTCTGAACTCTTTATTTCCGCTTGCATGGATGATTCATCCTTATCATTTTCCTGAAACAAACTACAAAACACACGAAAGACTTCAAACAGAACCTTACCCTTTCCGACTGTGACTCGTGGAACGATGATGGTGTCTCCGAGGCCTCCGGCGGTTTGATTTCTCGCCGTTTATGATGAACGGCGCCGACGGTCTTTCCCAGGTGCTCGCGATTTGGTTCTAAAAGGGGTTGTTTCTTTTCTTCGTTCTTCGGTAATGATGATGAAGAAGTTTGCTTCCAAATCTGAACCGGACTTCGAACAATGATGATGGTGAGAGGATCTCCCGTCTGAGTTCGTAGTAGTGGCCTTTGTTTCCTTTTTGCGGCGCCGTTCTTCTCTGTTTTTGGCTCGTCCTCTTCCTCTCTCTCGCCGAGGTAATGATGAAGGACCCTTAGATGCAGTGATAACAGAAAATAGATAACCGAAAATTTTGCCCTTAGATGCAGTGATATGCAATACTATGGACAAAATGAAAATAAACTATAATGTTGATAATGCCATGAATTTAGTATGGTGTGTATGATGGAATGGTAAATGCAGAGATGCAGGCGACACGACGACACCGGGGACAGACGCGACGAACGAACCACACTGGGAATACGACGCACTGGGTGACAGCACGACATTGGGGAATTCTAAAGTGATAGTCAACTGGTGCGAGTGCGACCAATTATCACTTTAGGAAAAAAGGAATAATGGAATAGGATCCTCAATAGAGATGGCACCGGCGAGACAGCCTCCACTGGGGAATATGTACGAGTAAATGATAAAAATGGATCTGCACGACTATAAGATCGATTAACAAGATGCTGGAGCGTTGAGCAAAGAATAACATCCGAGCTTCTGGAAATTCTCCCTCGTGACAGGATCAGACGGATTTTAGGAATCCGTAGACAATATATAGGGTAACAACCGGTTGTACGCCAAAATAAAATGGTCTTAAATGGGAAGCGCCCTGATAAGCTTTCTCGCGAGAGGACTGCCACTTATCGTCGGAAGGGACTTATATGCCAAACTGGATAAGCTCTCAAATAAAGAGACTGTTGCTTATCGGTGAATAATAGATGAAAAATTTATTAGTTGATGAGCTCCACTGAAGGGATTGTCACTCATCTGGTAAATAACCCTCTTCATATCTAAGGTCGGTGCCTGGAATACGATTCGGATTCTTCTTTTACTAAAGATAAAACAAACTTCTTCATACCTCAAGGTCGGCGCCCTGCACATGATTCAGCTCCTTCTTTTACTAAAGGATAAAATGGACTTCTTCATACTTCAGGGTCAGCGCCATGAACATGATTCAGCTCCTTCTTTTACTAAAGGATAAAATGAACTTCTTCATACTTCAAGGTCAGCGCGATGAACATGATTCAGCTCCTTCTTTTACTAAAGGATAAAATGAACTTCTTCATACTTCAAGGTCGGCGCCCTGAATATGATTTAGTTCCTTCTTTTACTAAAGGATAAAATGGTCCACGGCGGGAGGCCCAAGAATGAGTACGGCGGCTTACCGTTTTGAAGTTTTCAGAAAAGATATGTCCACAGCGGGACACCCAAGCATGAGTGCGGCGACTCAACTCCTCAAAGTTTAGGAAAGGATATGTCCACGGCGGGACGCCTAAGAATGAGTGTGGCGACTCAACATCTTAAGGTTTAACGGATATGTCCACGGCGGGACGCCCAAGAATGAGTGTGGCGACTCACGTTTTAAGGTTTAATGACATGTCCGCAGCGGAACGCCTAAGAATGAGTGTGGCGACTCAATGTCTTAAGGTTTAGTGTCATGTCCGCGGCGAGACGCCTAAGAATGAGTGCGGTGACTCAATGTCTTAAGGTTTAGTGTAGGTGATACGCTCCTCGGCTGGGAACTGTCGCTTGTCTATAAAGGATTGTAAATGATTTCTTTGAAAGATAGTGCAAAATAAATGCACGTCCAGGTAGGTTCAGTGACTGACGAGATTGAAGTTCGTTCTAGAATGGGCTAGAACTGTCAAACAAGACTCCATTGAGGAAATGAACTCAACTGGGGATTCTCTTATCCTATCATGGAAAGATAACTGAAATAACCATCGTCCATGAGGGTTGAACTTTGTGGGGATTAGCTGGAAACAAATAGTATTTTATGCCTAGGGCTGACGACCTACTTGGAGAGTGCGGACGACCCAGTTACTCGGTGGTAACAATAAAGGATGACGACAAATAGCAAGCATGCAAATGGTAATACATATGCCAAAGTGTATACGAATGTGTGTGCTCATGTGTATGACAATGCAATGAAAATGAGTATGTAATGCTCATGCTTATGCTTATGCTGACAGAACATATGAGAGAGGAGACATGAGATGAAATAAACATCTCGACAGGAATACCCGGTGACTAGGGCTGGAAATGAGTCGAGTCGAGTCGAACCTGTCTTAGCTCGACTCGACTCGATAAGAATATGTTCAGCTCGAAACTCGACTCGAGTTCGACACGAACTTTATTTTAAGCTCAAACTCGACTCGTTTAAAGTTCACGAACAACTCGATTCAGCTCGTTAGGTTCATCTCATTAGGTTCAGCTCGTATGGTTCACGAACTTCAAAGTCATTTTTTAAAATCTATTTTTTTTATATTTGACATTTTAAATTAATACTGAATTAATATAAAATTTATCAAATTAAAATTTAACTTTGTCTCCAAAGATCTACAACATAAAAAACTACCAAATACCAATCTTCAAGAGATACATTTGAAACTCTAATTCAAAAATTACTCAATTAGAATTTAATTTTGTCTTACAATTTTATCTAAATAATTAGGAACCTTACAACTTTTAATAAAATATTATAACAAAAACTACTAAAAGTTAATACATTCTCATCATAGAATGATTACAATTTACACCCTTTCAACCTTCATTAACAAATGTTATTGTGAGAGCTTTGCTGCTATAGTTACTACATAAGAGACAACCTGCAAAATGCAAGATGTTATTTTTCTAACCAATTAAATTCATATATTAAAACACTTACATAAAATTATCATGTCTTGTTATGCTATGTACCACCATAATTTTCATCATCGGTATATAACAAAATACATTATGATAAAGATATATATTAAATATATTATGATAAACATATATATTCACTTTTGTAGAGATCACTTTTTTCATCATCAATATATAACAAAATACATTATTATAAACATATATATTAAATTTTGAAAGACATGTCATTTGCAAAACAAAACATTCAAAAAATAACTTGGAAGCTTAATCACCTAATTTAGAGTAATTATAACTTCAGCAGCATAAAAAAATTTAGTGTGCTTATTCTTTTGAATTTGTATTATGAAAGAAGTAAAAAAGAACAGTAACTGTTATTGAGCATACTACTCATGATGAAATTAAAACCAAGTCCATTAAAGAATAAGAAAGATAAAAAAAATGTACCTATTTATCATCATGGGAGTAATGTAATTTCTGTTTGCACTTGCTCCACCTATTAATAAAAAGAAGAAGTTAGTTTTAACAAATTATCATGTTATTTTTTAAAGTTGATATTATACTTAATAATCAAAAGATAAGATAGCATATCACCTTAGGTTTGTTCCTAATTAACACCCATCATTTTGATCCTAGGATCCAAAACAGAAGCAAGCGACATGACAAGATTACATTGACTCCAATATTTATCAAATTTTTCCTTCATAGCTTTTGTCATTTCTTTCATAAAATCAGATTCATCTTGGATACCATGATCTAAAACTAGCTTAATTCGAAACACCTCAGCAAGATATAAGTTAGCAGTTGGATATTCACTACCAGAAATAATATTTGTAACAACATTAAATACCTCTAGCAACTTGCAAACTTTTTCAACCTTTTCCCAATCATCATCATCTGGAAGAGTTTTATAGCTTGATTCTCGATCTTGAAATCGAGGGAAGACTTCTTTGAACTGCATTGCAACTGACAACATTTGATAGGTGGAGTTCCAACGAGTAGGGCAATCAAGAATTAATTTTTTACCACCAAGCTTTAGTTGTTGAACTATTTGTGAGAATGTTTGCAACCTTGTTTCAGACTGATTGATGAACTTTACACTTTCACGCACGTTTTCAACTATTTTTGCTATTTTCCCAATACCATCTTGAACAAGCAAGTTAAGTATATGCGCACAACATCGCACATGAAATAACTTTCCATCTAGCACTAATTTTCGGTGCCTTAAAATCAGAACTTTTAATTCTTTCAAACATCTGTCATTGTAGTGAGCATTATCCACTGACACGCTAAATATTTTATTTTCAATGCCCCAATCTTTAAGACATTTGAAGATTGCATCAGCGATATCAACACCACGCCGAGGAGGAGGAACATGAACAAAACTAAGAATGCGTTTCTGCAAAACCCAATCAGCATCTATGAAATGACCAGTTAACACCATGTACTCTATCTTCTGATTTTGTGACTTCCATAAATCTGTGGTCAAGCAAATCTTATTTACCATCCTCAAAGTAGACTTTAACTTTTTTCTTTCAGCTTCATAAACAGCAATACAATCATTCTTCAATGTTTTCCGACTAATTTTCTCATATGAAATATTAGAACATTTCATCATAAAAAGAAAACCTTCTTCCTCAACAATACTAAATGCATGTTCGTGCATCATAATCCAATGTGCAGTGGCTTCACGTTGTCTTTCATGGTCATATTTAGCCCCTGAATTCATAAGTAGTGGCCCAGAAAGCTTCTCATCAATCATGCTTTTTGCAGGCTGAAAGTTTAATTTTTTTTGTTGTGCTACTAGCTTCTTGTAAACATGACATATATCTTTTAAATGCCTCATCAAATGACTGGTTGATCCACTAGAAACAACAGCATAATTCTTTTTACAGTGTATACATTGCCATTTTTTCCCATTCTTTAATTCCACTTTTTTGAAGTGATCCCAAACTAGAGAAGTTTTCTTCCTCTTGGACTTTTGAATAACAATGTCACTGCTCTCAACATTTTCTTCATTCACAACTTCATTTGCTGGTGTTGATTCATTTGTTAGTGGTTCTTCATTTGTATTTGCATCTAAATCAATAACAGGATTCAATGCATTTAAGTATTCTTCTCCAACTTCTGGTGGTGAACCTCCTGATGATTCAAGTGAGGTACTATATGACATCTCTGTAATAGAAAAAAAATAAAGTTACAAGTTCCATTAAAAAAAATCATTAAAATTTTCAAACAGAATACAATAAAAAAAACCACAACAAAGTTATCTATTTAGTCCATTCCAAGAAGAAATAATTCAGGAAGAACAGATACATAACAAAGTAAAAAAAATAAAATTCTTATAACAGAGTTATAGTTTATTCTAAGAAGAAAAAAAATAATCAAATGATAATGAGGAAATATTATTTACCTCTATTGACAAATATTGTTGAATCTGGATGACAGATAATGTAGAGATGAAAACTAGAAAAGAGACTAAAAGTTGTTTTTCTTCATAATAGAGAACAAACCCTGAAGAGAAGGAACGATGAATAAAATTCTCTTAAACCTAAAAAGAAGATGGAAGGTTTTGTTTTTTGGTAAATGCAATCCTAAAAAAAATTTAGAAGTATTTTTTTAAATATTTAATTTGATAAGTTAAAAGGTTAAAATCTATGTGTTTATAATTTTTTTTAAATGATACAAATTACAATTAAGATATATAAATTTAAAACATTATATATAAAAAATCTATGTATTAATTTTTTTAAATGATACTATTAAGATATATAATTTAAAACATTATATGTATATATATAAAATGAATGAAATTCTCTTAAACCTAAAAAGGAGATTAAAGGTTTTGTTTTTGGTAAATGCAATCCTAATAAATGTGCTTATTTAAAATCTTAAAAATAGTTAATAATAATAAAGTAAAAAAAGAATACAAAAAGATATAAATTAAAAGATATGATAAATGCTGTAATATTTAAAAATTGTTATTTGAAAGATTTTTAAAAGTCATGTGTATATGTTTCTTTTTATAAGATAGAAGATTTTTTTTGGGTAAAAAAAAAGTTAAAAGTATTTTTTTAAATATTTAATTTGATAAGTTAAAAGGTTAAAATCTATGCATTAATTTTTTTAAATGATACTATTAAGATATATAATTTAAAACATTATATATATAAAATGAATGAAATTCTCTTAAACCTAAAAAGGAGATTAAAGGTTTTGTTTTTGGTAAATGCAATCCTAATAAATGTGCTTATTTAAAATCTTAAAAATAGTTAATAATAATAAAGTAAAAAAAGAATACAAAAGGATATAAATTAAAAGATATGATAAATGCTGTAATATTTAAAAATTGTTATTTTAAAGATTTTTAAAAGTCATGTGTATATGTTTCTTTTTATAAGATAGAAGAATTTTTTTGGATAAAAAAAAAGTTAAAAGTATTTTTTTAAATATTTAATTTGATAAGTTAAAAGGTTAAAATTTATGCATTAATTTTTTTAAATGATACTATTAAGATATATAATTTAAAACATTATATATATATAAAATGAATGAAATTCTCTTAAACCTAAAAAGAAGATTAAATGTTTTGTTTTTGGTAAATGCAATCCTAATAAATGTGCTTATTTAAAATTTTAAAAATAGTTAATAATAATAAAGTCAAAAAAGAATACAAAAGGATATAAATTAAAAGATATGATAAATGCTATATTATTTAAAAAATGTTATTTTAAAGAGTTTTAAAAGTCACCTATATATGTTTCTTTTTATAAATTAGAAGAATTTTTTTGGGTAAAAAAAAGTTAGAAATATTTTTTTATATATTTAATTTGATAAGTTAAAAGATTAAAATCTATAAATTAATTTTTTTAAATGATACTATTAAGATATATAACTTTTATATATATATATATATATATATATATATATATATATATATATATATATATATATATATATATATATATATATATATATATATATATATATATATATATATATATATATATATGTGTGTGTGTGTGTGTGTGTGTGTGAAATTCTCTTACACCTAAAAAGGAGTTTAAAGGTTTTGTTTTTAGTAAATGCAACCCTTATTTAAAATCTTAAAAATAGTTAATAATAATAATAAAGTAAAAAAAGAATACAAAATAATATAGATTAAAAGATATGGTAAATGTTATAATATTAAAAAAATGTTATTTTAAAGAGTTTTAAAATTCACGTGTACATGTTTCTTTTTATAAGTTAGAAAAAAAAATTTGGGTAAAAAAAGGTTAAAACTATTTTTTTAAATATTTTATTTGATAAGTTAAAAGGTTAAAATATATGCATTAATTTAAATGATACTATTAAAATATATAATTTAAAAACATTATATATATATATATATATATATATATATATATATATATATATATATATATATATATATATATATATATATATATATATATATATATATATATATATATATATATATATATATATATATATATATATATATATATATATATATATATATATATATATATATATATATATATATATATATATATTAATAACAATCGAGTTGACTCATGAACCTAACGAGTCGAACTATACATAGTTCAAGTTCAGCTCATTTAATTAACGAACTTAATTTTTGGCTCATATTCAGCTCATTTGGTTCATGAACCAAGTTCAACGATCTAGTTATCGAATCGAACTTCGAACTATGTTCGAGTTGGTTTGGTTCATTGCCAGCCCTACCGGTGACCTCTGCAACAGTACATCTATTAGAGGCTAGGAATAGTTGATGGTAAGACCGAATCTGGCTTCAAAGTTAAAATTTCCCTGGGGAGAAATCTCAGGACTTCCATATGGGGATATGATACGGCTTTACTGGAGAGTATGATGTCACGACTTCACCTGGGGATTCATGACCTCCGCATGGGGATAAGATGTCATGACTTCACGTGAGGGATTGCTATCATGTACCATAATCAGCTCAAGAACTCTTGGATCATAGACTTCCGGGGATAAAATAAATATCCGCTGTATGGGGCAGGTGTGGAGCTAGACAGCTTCATGGGGATAGTGTAGCAACTTCCTGGGAAAAATACTTCGGCTTCCTGGGGAAAAGGTATATCCGACTGGGGATAAAGTATATCAAACTTCCCTGCGGAGAGTTCATCAGACCTACTGGGGAGAAATCAACAAACATTCGTGGGGACAGTATCTTGACTTCTTGGGGAAAACCTGGCACTCCTGGGGAATATTCTTGAGGAAAGTAAGGCAATTCCACTGAGGAACAGATTATCCTACCGAGAATGGGTCTTCAAGACTGTATATCACTTGGAGGATACCGGAGATGTCTCTGCAATTTTGAGAGTCACTGGGGATTTATTGGACGGAGCCCAAAAGTGTTGTCAGCTTAAAGTCTCGCTGGGGACTATCTCTGGGGAAAATGCTGGTAATGAACAAATCCTTATGCGACAACGAGACTTACCGGGGAGCGAAGAGACCCTTCACAGATTTCCATAAGTCAAAGCAATTTTTCAATTCCAAATGTATTTTCGAGAAGAATATTTTTGTTTTGAAAACATTTTTCACGTTCAACATTTATTAACAAAAGCAAATTGCATAACAAAAATAAAATGGAGATAACGTGCCCAAGGAATATTGAATAACAAAGGTACATTTTATTGAAGAACGGTAGCTTGCTAAAGGCATAGCTCCATGGGAAATTACAATTTGAAATTGGCAATATGGGAAAGGTTCTATTGAATCCATCGACCTACTGACCCTAACGACTAAGACTACCCACAACCTTGCCTCTGAAGAGAGTGATGGGATTTGAAAATGGATTTCTGTAAATGCGTCTGCGATGCTCGGTGTTGTCCGATGCAGTGAAATGCCTTTGTCCCTAACTTTTGCCTGGACCGCCCTTTCGGGTTTTCAATCCACCAGGACGCTCATTTTTGCCTAAGCCTCCCTTTCGGGTTTTCAACTAAGCGAGCCATATTATTATTATTATTATTATTATTATTATTATTTTATTGTTATTTTTTCTTTAGGCATAATATTTTCGGACTGCATCGGAATTCACAGGATGTGCGAGCTCTTCTCCATCCATTGTTGTAAGAATTAGTGATCCTCCAGAGAAGACTGTCTTAACAACAAATGGGCCATCGTGATTGGGCATCCATTTCCCGCGCATGTCTTTCTGAACCGGCAAGATCTTTTTGAGTACAAGTTCTCCTCGTTGAAACTCACGGATTTGGACTTTCTTGTCAAAGGCTCTCTTCATCCGTTTCTGATATAGCTGACCATGACACATAGCTGTCAAACGCTTCTCGTCGATAAGATTCAGCTGGTCCAACTTATCTTGAACCCACTCGGCTTCATCTAGATTGGCTTCCCTCAATACCCATAAGGAAGGTAGCTCAACTTCAACGGGGAGAACAGCGTCCATTCCATATACTAATGAAAAAGGGGTTGCCCCTGTTGAAGTTTGAACTGTAGTTCTATATCCATGCAAGGCGTATGGTAACATCTCATGCCAATCCTTGTAGGTCTTGACCATCTTTTATAGGATCTTCTTGATATTCTTATTCGCAGCTTCCACAACTCCATTCATCTTAGGACGGTACGGAGAAGAATTGTGATGCGCAATCTTGAAAGTATCACACAACTCCTTCATAGTCTTGTTATTCAGATTGGTACCATTGTCAGTGATGATCCGACTCGGAACCCCATAATGGCAGATAATCTCTTTCCTGAGGAATCGAGCAACTACTTGTTTGGTCACATTGGCGTAGGAAGCAGCTTCCACCCACTTGGTGAAGTAGTCAATAGCGACGAGAATAAAATGATGACCATTGGAAGCTTTCAGCTCAATTGCCCCAATCATGTCAATGCCCCACATAGAGAAAGGCCACGGCGAAGTCAAAACATTCAATGGTGAAGGAGGAACATGCATTTTGTCAGCATAGATTTGGCACTTGTGACACTTCCTAGCGTATCGAATGCAGTCGGATTCCATAGCTAACCAGTAATATCCAGCCCTCAAGAGTTTCTTGGACATGGCATAACCGTTGGCATGAGTTCCGAACGTCCCTTCATGAATCTCCTGGAGTAACATGTCTGCTTCCCGTCTATCCACACACCTAAGCAGAACCATGTCGTGGT